TACACGACACATCGTCTGCTTTCCACATTCAGTGCCTTCTGGGCCTCATGGCAGCTAGGACTGCAGTCCTTTGCTTCGCAAGATTGCGAATGCGCCCATTTCAGCTCTGGTTCCTAAGGCACTTCAGTCGGTTTGTCTCTCTCCATCACAGGAAGCATGCGACTCCCTTGTCTGGTGGACACTGACAGACAACCTGATACGAGGTGTCCCTTTCCATCCCCTCATTCCTGGTCTCACCCTCACAACCAACGACTCGCTGTGGGGAAGGGGAGCCCACCTCAACGGCCTCTCCGTAAGTCACAGGTGGGATGCCTTGACTTCTACAAATCATATCAGTTTTTTGGAACTTCTGGCAATCAAGCTAGCCCTCCAATGTTTTCAGCCCCTTCTCATGGGGAAATGCGTGTCTGTGTTGACCGACAATACAACGGCCCTCTTTTACATCAACAGACATGGTGGAATGGTCTCCCACAGTCTGTGCCACCTGGCTCAGGACCTTTGGGCCTGGTGCATACCTCTGCACATTTTTATTGTCTCAAACATCATGGGCAATATCAATGTGCATGCAGACCTACTCAGCAGGGGTCTCTCTCAGCGTCACAACTGGGAGCTGAACTGGACTTACCTATGTCCCATATTCCGAAGCTGGGGTACGCCTCACGTCAACGTGTTCGCCACCTGGTACAATGCAAAGTGCAGCCTATTCTGCTGCAGAGGGGCGCGGGATCCCAGGGCCTTGGGAGACGGGCTCGTTTACCCTTGGAGCAACAACTTCCTTTACATGTTACCTACTCTGCCGCTGTCGCTGAGGATGGTCCAAAGGCTCATGAGGGTTCACACTAAATGCATCCTGATTGCCCCCTGGTGGCCGAGACAACCCTGGTTCGCCAGCCGCCTTTCGCTAACCAGAGATCGCCATCCCCTTCCACAGATGCCAGATCTGCTCCTAGCGGGGAACGGTGCTCTTCTGTTCCACGAGGTCTACAAGCTCAGACTAATAGCCTATCTCAGGGAAATTTAACAGTTTCAGATAGTTACTACTGTTACTCAATGCCAGGAAGGCCTCTACCTGACGTTCCTACAGCGGGAAGTGGGCTCGCTTCTTAGCCTTCTTACAGCCCTCAGACGTACCTCTGGCTTCTGTGGGGAACGGCGCTCTTCTGTTCCACGAGGTCCACAAGCTCAGACTAACAGCCTACCTCGTGGAAATTTAACATTTTCGGATAGAGTTACTACTGTGTTACTCAATGCCAGGAAAGACTCTACCCAGGAAGTGGGCTCATTTCTTAACCTTCTTACAGCCCTCAGATGTACCTCCGGCTTCTGTACAGCTGGACCTAATTCTGGAATTTTTGCTTTCGCTAGCAGAAAAAGGCCTCTCACACGCCTCAATCAAAGTCTACTTGTTGGCTATTTCTGCCTACCATTCGGGTATCGAAGGTTTCTCTGTCTTCTCTCACCCGATCTCAAAGAAATTCCTGAAGGGTCTGCTCCACTTATATCCGCCGATCCATTCGCTGGTACCTTTGTGGGACTTGACGCTGGTGCTGCGCCGTCTGATGGGACAACCCTTTGAGCAAATGGCAACCTGTGAACTGAAACATGCCACCTGGAAAACTGTCTTTCTCACTGCCATTACCTCCACCAGGAGAGAGGGTGAACTCATGGCACTTCGTCATGACCCACCCTTCCTTCTCTTCCTACCGGATGTCATGAAACTGGTACCTGACTTCTCTTTCCTGCCTAAAGTGGTCTCTGAGTTCCATCTCAGCTCAGTGATCTTCTTGCCGAACTTCTTTCCTAGCCTGAATGATGGCCAACAGTGTCTCCTTCATGCACTAGATGTTAAGAGGGCGCTACTTTTCTACCTTGACAGGACACGTTCAAGTAGGAGGGACAATCACTTATTTGTCTCCTACTCCTGTCACTCCACAGGACAAAAGATCTTGGCACAACGTCTCTCCAAATGGATTGTTGAGACTATTAAACTGTGCTACCAGTTGGCTAAACGCCCGTTGCCCTTGCTTGTGCGAGCGCATTCCACAAGATCCATGGCTACATCTATAGCCTTCTTGAAGGGTGCTTCCCTGTCAGCAATCTGTGGGGCTGCAACATGGTCTACTCCAAACACTTTCATCAAGCACTACGCTGTTGATGTTCGTGAATGCCACAGAGTGGACCTTGGTCGTCTAGTCCTTTCATCGGCAGAGCACTGAGTGTACGACAGCACCCACCTCCAGGTGAGCTACTGCTTTTCAATCTCCCATGGGTGTGATGCACAGAGACCATGATGCACAAAGACCATGAAGAAGATAAACAGGTTGCTTACCTGTAATTGATGATCTTCGAGTGGTCATCTGTGCAGTCACACCACCCGCCCTTCCTTCCCCACTGCTGTCGCTTCAGTACTTTTCTCTGGTTATTGACATGACAGCGGTCAGAAGGAACTGGCGGGATGTCCGTGCCCCGCCTCTTTGGGCATGTGCAGTGGGGTTCCTGCACTTTGTATACCACTGATTCGGATAAGCGCAGGCACATAATTCCATGGGTGTGACTGCACAGATGACCAATCAAAAATCATCTGTTACAGGTAAGCGACCTGTTTTTATGCTGGGTAGAATCTTATGGTCAGAAATATTTAAGGAGAAGGGAGTTCAAGAGGGATGGGAGTTTCTTAAAAGTGAAATACTGAAGGCAGAATCACAAATGATTCCTATGAGAAGGAAAAATGGGAGGAGCCTAAAGAAGCCAAGGTGGCTCCATAAACAGCTCTCTAAAGACTTGAGAAATAAAAAAAGACTCATTCAAAAAGTGGAAGGAGGGCCTTGTAACCAAGGATGAATATAAACAAATAACCAGTGCTTGTAGAGAGAGAGTTAGGAAAACTAAAGCTCAGTATGAACTTAGGCTAGCAAAAGATGCTAAAAACAACAAAAAAGTGTTCTTTTCTTATGTTCAAAGTAAGAAAAAGAGCAAGGACATGGTAGGCCCATTGCGGGGACAGGAAAGTGAAAATGTAACAGGTGATTAAGAGAGTGCAGATCTGCTCAATTCCTACTTTTCCTCTGTCTTCTCTTGTGAGGGAAACAGTGCTCCATATGGCAAAAATAGAACACACGATGAGGAAAGGGAGTTGCAGCCTAGGATCAGCATATGGGTAGTACATAAACACCTAGTTTCTTTAAATGAAACAAAGTCCTTGGGGCCAGATGAACTGCATGCAAGGGTACTAAAAGAACTCGCAGATGTAATTTCTGAGCCTCTGTCCATTATTTTTGAGAATTCTTGGAGAACAGGTGATGTGCCAGAAGATTGGAGGTGGGCAAATGTTGTCGCCATCTTCAAGAAGGGGAAAAAGGAGGATCCAGGAATGACAAGTGGAGTACCTCAAGGATCTGTCCTGGGACCTGTTTAGTTCAACATCTTTATCAGTGATTTGGATGAAGGGATAGAGGGAATGCTTATTAAATTTGCATATGATACTAAATTGTGAGGAGTAGCAAATACGGTAGAAGACGGAGTCAGGATACAGGATGATTTTAACAGGCTGAAAAAAGGGGCTAAAACAGATAAAATGAATTTCAATGAAGATAAATGTAAACTTCTGCATTTAGGTAGGAAAAACCAAATGCATAATTATAGATTGGGGGAGACTTGTCTTGGCAGTAGTATGTGCAAAAAGGATCTAGGGGTCTTAGTAGACCATACACTGAACATGAGTCTGCAGTGTGATGTGGTTGCTAAAAAGGGAAATGCAATTTTGGGCTGTATCAGCAGAAGTATAGTGCCCAGATCACACAAAGTGATGGTACTACTTTACTCTGCTCTGGTTAGACCTCACCTAGAGTGTTGTGTATCAGCAGAAGTATAGTGCCCAGATCACACAAAGTGATGGTACTACTTTACTCTGCTCTGGTTAGACCTCACCTAGTGTGTTGTGTATCAGCAGAAGTATAGTGTCCAGATCACACAAAGGGATGGTACTACTTTGCTCTGGTTAGACCTTGGGCGGGGCCACGGCCATACAAGGGAAAACTCTATGGTTTTCCCTTGTATGGTCATGGCCCCGCCCCCAGCGTGCCCAGCGTCATAATGTCACTCCCCACCCGGGAGTCCCCCGCCGCCAAGGTAAGTTCCACTTGGCAACTCTACTGCCACCTCTCCCTTTACAACCCTCTCCAGTGGCTGCGGTCGTCATCTCGTGGCCTACTGGTGGTACCAGGCCCTCGGGTTGCACATTTGGCATCCACCAGGACAAGGGCCTTTTCAGTCATAGCCCCATCCTGGTGGAATGCCCTCTCAGATACAACCCGGAGCCTGTGGGGCCTCTCTAGGTACTGCACAGCCTGCAAGGCTGAGCTGGTGGACCTCCTGATGGCACCTGGTATTTCTGGCCACTGTGTGACACAGAGTGTTGGACTAGATGGGCCTTTGGCCTGATCCAACATTGGCGTCTATTATGTTCTTATGGCTAAACACTAAGAAGAACTTCCTGACAGTTAGAGTGGGTCCTCAGTGGAACAGGCTTCCTTGGGAGGTGGTGGGCTCTCCTTCTTCGGAGGTTTTCAAACAGCGGCTAGATGGCCATCTGACAACAATGCTGATTGTGTGAACTGAGGCATATCATGAGAGGGAGGGGCAGGAAGGGTTGCCTCAGTGCTTAGTTCTTGTGGCCCTTTCTTACACGCCCAGGGAAATGCTAATTGCCACTTTGGGGTCAGGAAACAAATTTCCTCCAGGCCGCTTTTGGCCAGGGATCCTGGAGTTTTTCTGTCATCTTCTGGGCATGAAACAGTGGTCACTGGTCACTGCGGGTGGGCATGAAACAGTGGTCACTGCGGGTGTGGAGGGGAAGGTATTTGTGAATTTCCTGCATTGTGCAGGGAGTTGGCGGGGTATAAATTGAATAAAATAAATAAATAAATAGATGACCCTGGAGGTCCCTTCCAACTCTATGATTCTATAATCTGTGCTGAAATCATCTTGCTTCTTTATATCAGGTATGACAGAACCAAGCTAACATTAAAGGATATTCACAACTGCCAGTATGTTGCCTGTATGAACCCAACGGCTGGGTCTTTCACCATTGACTCCAGACTCCAGGTACCCATCAGAGATCTGTTACAGGAGTTCTGCCATTTATTGTTTCAGTAGCAGACATCACCCTCATTATCCAATGTTTGCCATTTTGACTTTGGACTTCTCTTCCCAAGTGAATGAGGAAGACTTGACCACATCTGGGTTTATTGGGTTTCATTTTGAGACATAAAATGTGTATTTATATTAAGAATATGACTCAGTCACAGCTAAATGATCCTTGTGGATGTCTTTTGTTGTAGCGACACTTTTGTGTCTTTGCTGTGAGTTTCCCAGGACAAGAAGCCCTTACAGCCATCTACAGCACCATCCTAGCTCAGCACTTGGCCCTCCGGAATGTCCCAATGGTGATCCAGAAGATGCATTCTCAGCTTGTTTCAGCAGCTCTGGGTAAGTAACACAGGGCCTGGCAAAACAAGTCTTCTTTGTATCTTACCAGCGCATTCGATCCTGTAAACCGCTAGCAGAAGACAGGATCTTCCCTGCCTTTCTTCACCCCTGGAGCCATTTCCAAACCCAGGGAAGTTGTAATCATAGGATCTTCCTTGCCTCCCCCCGCCCCATCTTTTTCTGACCCTGGGAAAGTTTATTCCTGAGGCTGAGGGATTCACATGGTTATTAAACTGCAGGTGCAGTATGGAGGGGAAAGAGAGTGAGACTGTGCTCTGCTCCTGCAAGAGGAAGAGTAGAGTAATTTTGCCCCCTACTTTCCCCAACTGCAGCTGGCTATTAGCCTATACAGATCCTCTCAGCCTTTCTATGCCACATTTCCACCCAATTTAGGGTCCCCAAGTGGCAAACATTTAAATATTTGATACATTTTAAAAAGTTTTTAAAATACAAATATAATAAACACAAAAATATGAACACATGAAAGCACACAAACAAAGAGTTAGTGAGGGACCTCGAAATAAAACAAAGAAAAGTCTTTGCCCCTTAGCAGAAGACGATGATAGAGGGAGGGAGGCAAATCTCGCTGGGGAGGGCGTTCCAAAGTTTCGGCACAGCTACCGAGAAGGCCCTTCCTCGTGTTGCCACCCATCTAGCCTTAGATGGCAGGGACACCCAAAGCAGGGCTTCTGAAGATGACCAGAGCAGTGAAGTAGGTTCATATGAGAGTAGGTGGCCATTTATCCTCTCCACGCACCACTCCAGTTCTGCTCCATGTATCCACTGTTCGTTTTTTAAAAACAGCTATATTTATAGAAAATGCTTTGATTTTTTTTGTTTACCTCATGCTTACTTAGAAATAAAGAACAATGTCATCTGGTGGAGGAAGACTACCTCTTAAGCCCAGTACAGACAAAGCAAACTTGTATGAATGAAAATGCTGGGCTCTCAACATCATAGACTTGCAAGAAACAATAAAACCTCCTAATTTTGCCTGTGTAAACTGTATTTAATTGGAAAATAGATGGACATGTTTTTATTTGCTAATTCAGGCTTAAATATTCAATTTTCTCACTAAGAAACCTAATATCCTTTTAAAAATGTATAAATACTGTCTTTCTCCACAACAGCCTTGCATCAGAAAATCACATATACCTTTCTTCCTACGGCCATAAAGTTTCACTATGTTTTCAACCTCCGGGACCTCTCTAACATCTTCCAGGTACATGTGATTTCTTTATAGCTATTTTAGCTTGACTCCTGGCAAGTCTCTCTTTCTCCATCTTTTGAATTAAAGTCCAGGGAAAACACTGCTTTTGGCTAGATTAGACTGTTGGGTTCAGAGCAAAGACAGGCTAGGGAACTGGAGCCAAGAGAAAATAATTTCTTCCCACAAAATCTATGCAGCTTCCTTTCTGGAAGAAAAGTTATTGATGTTTGGCCTGAGGACTGACAGTGCCCATGGTATCCAGTGGGGCTGTTCACCCACAAGAAGGGCTGCTGCATGACTGAGGCCCATGGGCTGCCTCATCAGGACACAGCTCATCTTACTATTGCCCACTCACTTGCTCAGAAAAATTGAATAAAAGCCCAGAAGATGTACCCTGCAACAAGTTTTTGTTTCCTAGCTGAGAGCAACTTTTTGCAAAGTTTTGCGTGTCTTAACACCTGCCACCATATCCTGATACGTCTGCAGTCACATCCACAGAGCTCTTGGTTAGTAATTTTATATGAGCTGGCCCTCCCCTGCTGCTCTTCTTGTCTTCCCATCCTCATCCTCCTTCCCATGATTCAGCATGACTGTTCCTGCTGCTGTCATTCACTTATACAGTCTGACACCCCCTGGGGCAATTTGTTCAGGCAGAAGGAAATGTAGTCTGTTAAAACATGCATGGAACTGCTGTGGGGACAAGGTCCCAGAAGAGCAACTGGCTTTCTTAGAAACACAAAGTTCCAAGAAACCTTGTTTCCCCACCTTTGTTTGATTTTTCAGAGAGATAATTTCCCCCCTTTTCTATGGTTGACCATTGCTGCAACCTGGTTTTATGACAAGCAAGTGAAAAATGCTTTCAGTCTAGCAGAATGGTGTGGGGTACTTCACTGGGTTGTGGGCACTTCATGGGTGTGTGTGTGTGTGTGTGTGAACAACCAGCACTGTGGATAGCATATCACAAAGCTTCGTTTCTGCTTCAGATGCCAACACTGACAATAAATGAAGAACTATATAAAGTGGTCCCCTTGCTAAGACATTAGCTAACTACTGTTCTCTCCTAGGAATTAGGCGATGGCATTTCTTTCTTCCTCTTTCACTAGTGTTCCACTAGGGCTGCCAACCTACAGGTGGAACATGGAGATCTCCGAAAATTACATTGGTCTCCAGACTATATGAATCAATTCCCCTGAAGACTATAGCCGCTGAGAAGGGTGGAGACTATGGCTTCACATCCCTGCTGTGCACTCTTCCCTCCCCCAACTTCGCCCTCCTCAGGCTCTGCCTCTAAATCTCCAGAATTTCCTAATCCAGAGGTGACAGCAAAATGGGTGTTAGAAATTGGCCGTCTTCCAGGAGAGTTATCAGTTGTTGTAGTGACATCGGCCAACAGGCTGCAAGATGCCTTGTCACTTCCCTGGGTAGATTCTCAGTTTCTTGATGTCTCCTTTACCCTGATGTAGCTCATACAGGGCTAAGTTAACGAAGAACTAATCATGAGGGCAAATTGCTCCTTACCTTGCAAAGACCTATAGATGAGTATTTGATTTGAATCATGACTTCAAAAGAAAGCCTGGACAGAAGTGGACACTGCAAGGGTGGTGCAAATAAGTAAGATGGTTCCTTGCACTTATATTTGCCTGTGGAATGTTCTGGTGAATTAGCAGTGGCAGATGATTAAATGAACAGTGAACAGGCTCCATTTTTCAACACCATCAGAAACCTGATATCTGTAGGACCAGACAAACAGTGCTAGAGCTTCTGTCTTTTGTCAGGGACTGCTGTTCTCTACACATGAGTGCCTCAGAGTGCCTGTAGACCTGGTCCGGCTATGGCTGCACGAAGCTGAGAGAGTTTATTGTGACAAACTTGTGGAAGAAAAAGATCAAGAGAGCTTTGGCCGGGTCATGATGGCTACTTGCAAGAAATTCTTTGAGGTGAAGTAGGCCTTTTAATTTCCTTCTTCAAAGTATATTGTATATTTGAGAGTGAACTTTGATGTGGCTGGGAAGTCTGTGGACATATCTATAGGAGATACACAGTGACTCACTGTCAGGAAAGGAGGGAGCCTTTGGATGATGAGGAGGTACCCCTTTCCACACAGTGGACATATCTTCACCCCTTTCACCCCTTTCTGACTCCTGTTAACTCTCAGAGCAAATCAGGTACTCCGAGTAAATCAGGCGCAAATCAGGTACTTGGTCTGGGGATTTTCCTATAACTTGGGGAGGAGGACCCAGATTAGTCCCCTCCTCTCTTCTGATTCTCTGAGCAGCACCTCTTTACACAAGGGGGATGCTGCCTAAACATGCAACCAAGCTTATGACATGAAAACCTTAGCAGGGTTTCTAACAGATTAAATGACCGTATTTAACAATAAAGTACAAATAGCTGTTAATACCGTTTTCAAAACAATGAGCAGTTGACCAAAACTTTAGTCCCAGAAAATATCCCCCTACGTTAACAATAGGAGAAGCCAGGCAAGAAAAATAACAAATCTTAAACACAGCAACCTTGAACTGGTCCTTAGTTCACTTATATTTATTTAGTCCAAGTCCAGTCCGTAAACTCACACTTCCTTGAGTGATGGTACACTTTCCTACCCACAACTTCCTTGCTGAGCAGTTCCAGCAAATGCACACTGTGCTCTTGTGGAAGAAGGTTTTATAAGTTTCCCCTTGTAACCCACTCCGTAGGACCTAGAGTTCTCCCAACTGGGGTTCTCCCTCTGAGGCGGAGGACATCTTGGTGGGTGATTCCCATCCTCTTATTAGGGAGGCAGGAACAAAGTCTTTACACTTCCTGTCGTCGCCCATCTCCTCAGTTCTTTTCCTGCTTCGACAGGGAGAACATTTCAGAATAGGCTCTGTTTGCCTATTCTTTTTCTCTTTACTTCTTTTTGCTTCTTCTAACCCTAAATTCTTATCTTGCCTGCCCTTTCTTATTTCCCCCTCACTCCTTTTCTATTTTTCTCTGTCTCTCGTGCCTCCATGAGGAGATCTGAGGGAGGGAGTTCGACTGGTGGGGAACGTTCCCCTTGGAGGCGGCCATTTTGGCAGACTATAAAGCAATTACATTTACGATCTACCAAAGGAGCTCTACAACAATCAGTTCCTCTGGAGGAAATGGCAGCTTCAGAAGGTGGACTCTATGCGATATCCCCAATGAGCTACCTCCCCAGGCATTATTACCAAATCTCCAGGGAGTTCCTAAACCAGAGTTAGCAACCCTACTCAGGATTGACAGTATTCCATCAAGAATTTACAAGGGCCAGTTCTGTGTCTTAAATTTACCCAGGGAGCTTTAGACAAGAAAAGTGAAATTCTCTGTTAAACACGTGACACCCCCCCCCCCCCAAATTAAGGACTTCAAATGCCAAAGAGGAGGCCCTAGGAAGATCACAGGGACCAGAAACTCTGGCGAAATACGGAAAATCATAACGATAGTTTATTACAGTTTTGTATGTGTAGGAACAAACTTGATTTGGAAACTTATACAAAATCAGAGAGATAAACAATCCCTAAAAGAGTATAATTTACCACTTATAATGTTTTATGGCTGAGTAGGTCAGTGAGCTCAACTCCCATTTATTAACCCCATTCTCATCTCTCTCCAAGTTCTCTTGAAGCAAAATTCCCTCCAAAGGTAACAGCTGATGCACAGTTACCATTCTGAATAAGGTACTGACAGCTGCAGTAAAGTGGAAAACAGTGGTTTCTGACTCCTGTGCCCATCAACCTCACACACCTAACCATAAGTTTGCCATCATTAAAATGAAATGAAGATGAAAGGCTACGTTTGTATCTTCTACAGGATCTAGGTGACAATGTGGTCTTTGCCAAGCCGAATATTTACTGCCACTTTGCTCAGGGCATTGGGGAACCAAAGTATTTACCTGTTGCCAACTGGCAAATTCTGAATAAGCTGCTTAAGGAAGCCCTGGACAGCTACAACGAGGTCAATGCAGTAATGAATTTGGTGAGTGAAACTGGAGTCGAGAGCTAGGAGGAGGCTGGTGCTGGTCACTGAGGAGGTTCTCCTTAACAAAGATAGGCATTGCCTAGATTTTAATCCCCTTTCTATTTTGGGTATACCTGTACCAATTCCTTTCTGTTTAAGTTGTTAATGCTTTTGCTTCCCATATATTAATCTCTTGCCATTCCAATGCAGGATACATTATTTTATGTTTACTGAACTATGTTCTTTGGATTTTTCTTTGCTAAGCAGAGTCAAACATAGGGTGTGATCACACTGGCACTTAGCGTGATATGGCAACTCCTCTAATTGTACCGGTTTAAAATGTTGCAGGGCATATCATCCAGACAGCACACCCTGCTGTGGGTTACCCATGCGGCCGTCCCCCGGTAAAGCATCCACATTATTAGTTGTGGCTGTGTGACTGCGTCCATTTAATCCAGAGGGGAGGGGTGGCTATGTTGGGCCAAACTGTTCATGTGATCACATCCATAGACAGCTGTACATCCCTATAGACACTCTGTTGAACTATGCAAAGATTTAACTACTGGTTTAGGAAGACAACCTTGAGGTACAGGATCCTTGAAAGATGACCAGGGTAGTACAAGTTTGGGGACAGGGGTAAGAGTAGAAATGATGTCTCTAAACAGAATTGGGAAAGAGTAAGAGTGAATGAGTCAAAACTATAGATCTCCCTCCCAAGGGGAATTAATCTCAGTCCTTCCTTGCTGGTGTAGAGGTGCCAAGTCAAACTGGTCTCTTTTAAAAGAGCTTATGAGGCTCCTGCTTCCTCTACTTGCTACTGCTGTTATTGGCCTCTCTCCTATTTGTATACTAAGTTATATGATTTGTTTGTCATTTGTTTGTTTGCTCCCTTGGCAGATAGGATTTAGGAATTTGAGACAATGTCATTATTGAAAATCAACAGAGCCACCTCAAATTATGTTTTGAAATGAAGGAAATCCTTCCACTACAATGTTGACCATAGACCTTGGCCCTTTCTATTATCATGTGGCTTCTCTGTTAGCATACTATTTAGAGAAAATGGTTGCAAAATGTTGTACCGGGGCATTTAAATCCTTTGAGATAAGCCTGAATTTATAGAAATAGTTCCAGTTGTTGGTTTTGTGGTGAAGACAAAGATGATTTTCTGCACATTGGTAGAAATGCATGAGGGCTAATCATTTTTGAACAATAGTGACAAGATCTTTGTTATGTGCTTTTGCCACTAGCATGCCACCCTCTGTTGAAATGCATCTATTAAATTATGTTGTTATAATCCTAAAAATGTTTTGGAAAATTGCCTTATATCTTATTACTACATTAAGATTAACCTCTAATTTGTCTCCTAAAAATCTAATTTGTGTCCTAAAAACAAGACTAGCTAAATAGCTCAAAGGACATCTTTGTGTTGTTCAAGTTAACTGCTTTGCAGAAAACTTGGGATATCTAAGAGATAGTAATCTAACAGAATCTAGTTCTTAATAGAATAGAAACTGCCAAACGATATTTATTATCAAACAGAATGAATTTGCTTTTTTAAAAATATGCTTGTGAGGTCTTGAGATCTTTAAAGTTCTGACCAGTTGTTTTGTATTTTAAAGTTCTGTAGATCATTCTATGTATCATTGTGCAAATATTTTTTTAAAAAACCTTTTAAAAGGAAACTTTAGTCCAAGCAAGCAACTACAAGTGTGTTACACTATTTATGAATGCTACCTTTTGTCCTAATAAATACGTTGGAGCATTAACCAAGGCAGGATACAGGACTGGATGGGGACTGCACAAACTAGCTCACACCCAAATTGGCTTGTACAGTCATAACTCTGGACTGGGAATTTTTTGTAAGATTTGTTGTGAGCTGTGATATTAACAGGACTTCCTTGCTGATTGCAGGTGCTTTTTGAGGATGCTGTATCTCATGTCTGCAGAATCAATCGCATCTTAGAGTCTCCTAGAGGGAATGCCTTGTTAGTGGGGGTAGGAGGCAGTGGCAAACAGAGTCTGTCCCGGTTAGCAGCCTATATCAGTTCCTTGGATGTGTTTCAGATCACACTGAAAAAAGGCTATGGAATTCCAGACCTCAAGGTAAGAAGCAAAGTTGCTTTCTCCGGGGATATCCCAGCACAGAAGAAAAAGAACATTAACTGTTGCTCAATACCTAATATGAAGTCATCTTGCCTGTTGTGCAAACATGCCCTTTTCAATATCATTACGATCTGGGCATAACCTGGGTGCACCAATAACCAGTAGACAGAAACCAGTAGAGAGAAAACATTACTAATAATGTTGGGAAATATAGTAGAAAAGGACTGCTCCATTATATTTAATTTAAAGCTGTTTAAAAGCCCACATAAATTATTGAGTGACATTCTGACAGAAATCTAGATGAAACTGGGAACCAATAATTAGAAAAGGACTGTTCTCTCTCTGAGGCGGAGGACATCTTGGGTGATTCCCACCGTCCTATCAGGAAGAGCCAGGAACAGTTTCTTCCTCTTCCTGTGAGGCTTGGGAACACCCACTTCTTCAGTTCTTTTCCTGCCTCTACAGGGAGAGGTCGTTGTAGGCTTTGCCTCCAACACTTTAGATCCTATTCTACTGCTTGATCTGGTGGTGGCGGTGGTGGTGGTGATGATGTATAGGATTCAACATGGGTTGGACTTTTGCAGAATAAATTTTTGTATGCTACTCTTATTGTGGTGTGTCAAAAAACACTACCACTTCTACACAAGAACAGGGCCCCAGTGCTGTGATTGGGGGGGAAATCCCCAAATCCTCCCCTGTGATCAAATTAAGGAGTATATCTGTAGGAAAACTGGCTGTTGTTGGGAGGATTCTTTTATATACATTTCTAATGTATTTCAGTCTTTCTGTCCTACAGTATGTCTGAGATAGGTGCACTGCAATGTGTTTTTGGAAGATGTGCAGTTGCCAGGTATGGAACTCCCTCAGAGAAACACCTGCTGCATCTAGTCACAGCTTTATATAGTCTGGATGTGTGCAGTTAGAATGCTTCTTAAAACCAATTTAGCTGTGCTAAAAGTGAATCCTTTTGGGAAACTCCTGCCTTGGTGCCAGTCCATTTAGGAAGAGCAAGAGTGGCACCTAGTGATCATTAGGGAATACTCTGGTTTGTGTTTCTTTCATGAAGTTATCTTGGTACACAATATTTAGGAAGACAGTCCCAAGAATCATTGTGATAATGAATCCAAGGCAGATGTTTGTATTTGTCCATTTGGCAGATGCAAGTACCACTCGGACAGATATGTAGCTTTCTTTTGCTCCACCTTACTTAAAATAAAGCCACAAAGCTCATAACTTGGGTTAAACTAGGGCTTGTTGTTAATGGCTGTATTACCACAATCAGCATATCTTGTTTAGCTATTAGGCACAAGTATTATAATTACTTGAAAGATTCCCCCTGTGTATGTTTGTGTGTTGAATTTGTGTATGAAAATTTAATAAAATATGTTTAAAAGTAAAAGCATATCTTGTTATACAATCAGCATATCTTGTTTTACTGTTTTTAATTTGTTTTAAACCTGATTTGAATGTGTCTTCATGAAATGTTGTACACCGCCCTGAGCCCCAAGTATGGGGAGGGCAGTTTAAAAATCCAATTTATAGAGGCTTCCGGTTGATGGTGGCACGCTAGGCGGACGCATCTCCCGGACCTCCCAGGGATGCGGTCTGTGCACGGCGGGAAGGAGGGGGAGCGCTGGCCCGTTACCCCCCCCAGGGAGCCTGGCGAAAGGCTCCTAGCCATGAGGAGTCGCCTCTTCGCCTGCACGTTGTGGGTGAATTGAGGCACTTCTCCATCCCAGTGTTCCTTCCTGTGCAGTGCCCGAATGGGAACTAGTGACGCTGACTGGGGCAAGCGTAGGAGATCGAGTGGGTGAAACGATGAAAAGCGGGGTCGGAAGACCAGATATGAACATGAGTCAGACTGAGCGAAACAATGGTTAAAGAGAAAAAGAAAGCTCCTTACCCCATGTTGAAAAACGGAAACAGAGGCGGGCGGGGGAGGGACGCTTCCTAACCGCATGAACTTTTGAGCGAATTGAGGGGGGGGGAGCAGAAGAGAAAGCATGTACAACTGTTAGGAAATACTCACCAAGGCGAGTTCAGGCATTTGAGCGCATATTCAGAGACTTTCAAAATATTTCTTAAAGTAAACAATCAAGAAAGATGGCGGGGAAGAGGACGGAGAAAGAGAAATTGAAACTAATGGAGAGCCCCAAACCGGAAGGAACCAACGAGCTGGCAAAGATTTTGGCAGAATCCATGCACCCTCTACTGGACCAGATGAATAACTTCAAGGAACAGATGTCGAAAATTACTCAGGGCATCACCACACAGCAAACACAGATAACCGAGACACTTAAAATGATGAATGAAACGGTGGAAAAGGTGAAAGAAGTGGACGCCACTGCACAAAAGGTGAAAAAGAAAGTACAAAAGCTGGAAAAGAAGCAAGTTTCTATGGAAGATCAACTGCTACAATTACAAACGGAAAAGGCTAATATGACTCTTCACTTCCAGGGCTTGCCAGAGACAAAGGGAGAGAATCTGAAGGAACTAGTGAGTGAAATATTGGCCCCAGTGACAGATATGAAGGCGGAACTTTTGTTAAACGAAATGGATGTGGCCTATAGGTCATATTCAGGATATGTAAAGAAAAATAATCTGCCTGGGGAAATTGTGGTAAGATTCTCGAAGAGGCATGTGAGGGATACAATCCTGAAAGCAGTATCTGGAGCACCCCTGAAAGTGGGGGAGAATACCATCAGAACGTTGAAAGACATTCCTTTTAAGATAAGACAAAGGAGAAAGAAATATAAAGAGTTAATTCTTTTTCTACAGACAAATGCAATTGGCTACAGATGGTTAACTCCAGAAGTCATAACCTTCAAAATCAAGGATAAAAAAGAAAGATTGACTCTGTACAGAAAGCACAGGATTTTTTAAGAGTCCAGTTGGGAGGGCCAGGGAAAGAAGGAGAAAAAGGGGAGGACAGTAAGTCCAATGGCGAGCTGGACTCGGAATCTTCCAGGGAGGACTCTCTTTCAGAGAAAGGGGCGGCAGCCCCTAAAAGTCCTTATAAGCTTCGGAAGAGATTAGGCAAAGAGAAGTAAAGGCTGAAGGACTCTGAATGGTGCCTTTAAAAAATGTCACAGTGAGATGCTTTGGGGGGTTTCTGTTTGACAGTTAAACTTAAGACTTGTAAAAGACAATGCTAAACTTGACTCAGTTGATAGTAAGATTAACGGGATTAAGACTAAATGTATGGTTAAACTGGTGGGATGATCTCCTCTCTTGGGTTTTTAGTTAGTAGTGGGTATCTTTCTTTATCCCATAAATGTAGTCCCCCTCCCTATTTTCTGTTATAGTTTTGTAGTGTTATAGAAAATGCAATAAAAAAATCCCCTCCGGGGGCTTAAAAAAATCTAATTTATAAATAAGTAAATAAATACATTTATAAATAATGTTGCTAATCCCCTTAATGCAAGTTACCTTACCTAATGGGCTGTTTAAAGGACCACTAACATTATTATTATTTATTTGATTTATAAACTACCCTCCCCCCAAAATCTCTGAGCGGTGTACATCATAATTAAAACATACAATAAATTAGCTAAATATCCATTAAATTAATCAGTTTACAGAATAAAACCATTAAAATATAGTCTAATCAGTGAAGGCATTCAGTATAAATCTCTCTCCCTCAATGGGGGGGGGCGGGCGATCATGGGGCAAATAAAGTAGAAAAAACGTTGCTGTCCTCAACTGTAAGCCTGGCAGAACATCTCTGTTTTGCACACCCTGCAGAACTGTACTAAGTCCTGCACAGTGCGGATGTTGCCAAGGTAGAGAGTTCCACCAGATAGGCCCTGGGTCTGGTTGAGGACAGCCGGACATCTCTTGGACCAGGGATCACCAGTAAATTCTTATCTTAGCGCAAAGCTCTACAGGGAACATACCAGACCAGTCCCACCCTGGCTCAAAACTTTGTCCAGCACTGCTGCCATGCCTTACTGTTCCTTCTCTGAACATCACATTTTTGTACCAAGAGGAACTTGGTCCCATCACCATTCCACAAGGCTTCAGTATTAGGGTTCAACTAATGGAGCGCAGCACTGAGAGAGTCCCCTCCATAGCCCTCCTGGACTTGGTCTGCCACAAGAGCACATGAAGCTGCTTTATACTGAGTCAGAACATTAGTATGTCAATATTGTCTCCTCTGGCAGCAGCTGTCTGGGGTCTCAGACAGAACTCTTTCACATCACCTGATACCTGATCCTTTTAACTGGAGATGCCACCAATTGAATCTGGAACCTTCTGCATGAGTAGTTTGAGAAACTCCAACATCATTAGATGTTTTAGGGGCTCACCACTTTTCCCTAC